TTTTGATTAAAACCTTAAATTTTATAACCCCCACAATATTGAAATAACGTAACTTCCACTCCATATGACCAGTGCCTTCCAAATTTCCCAGCCATTATATTGTTAGCAATTATTTATATTAATTTTAATTATATTCAATTCAATTGATACTGATCATTGAGGAATTCAATGAAATGGATACTAAGTAATTTCTATATTGTTCTCCAAATTTCCTCCAAGTTTGGGTCTAATCGAATGCGCCGTTTTCAAACAATAGGCGTATCAAATAACACATTTCCTGATCTGAAAGTGGGAGTTTTTATTTTTTGAAGTATTAGATAGAATTTGATAAAATTGATGCCTATTTCATTTTACGTTGACCAATCCCTAATTATTCTTAGAAAAATACAAGGAGTATAACATCTTGTATACGGATGCTTCAAAAGCAGATAAGGAAGTAGTAGACTCTTCTCTCACGATCTTTAATCTTGATATTGGTAAACTATTTAAACTCCCGGAGGTCTGCTCAGTTTTTACAGGCGGTATGGTAGCGAAAAGAGAAGCTCTAAAGTACATAGAGACGACTGAAACTACCAAATGGGCCGTTGCGACGGACTTGATGAGTACACTTCTTGCTATTGGAAATACTAGACCAAAAAAGCAGCAGAAGTACAGTAGCAAATGAAATAAGAAACGTTTGGTGGCTGCTAAGAGAGAAAGCCAAAGAAGTAGTGTTCGTCTGTGTCCCTTCGCATTGCGGGATCATCGGCAATGAAGAAGCCTATCAAGCAGTCAATATGGCAAGAAAGGCAGGCACAACTCCGGTGGAATTTATCAATCAAATCCCCTTTAGAGAACATCTTAAGAAAATTTAAGAAAGACATTTGGAAAATGTGGCAAAATAAATAGAAGGAAAAATAATCAAAATTAAGATAATTATTGGAAACCTCCTCTATCGGTCCTCCAGGAAAGAATTGGACACTATATGTTCTCGCACACCTACCTACTAAGAGGACTTCATCCTCCGACATGGGAGAACTGCAATGTCCAACGAACCGTAAAATAAATCATACAACACTGTCCTATATTTGAAACAATTAGGATAAATTTGGACATGCCAAAAAGCTTAAAAGAAATCTTGAATGACAGCAAAATAACTATTTTGAAAACGTTTGAATTTTTAAAAAGAATAAATTTCTAAACCAGACTGTATATAAAAGGTGTCACCAATGATCCTACAAAAAAAAATAACAGACAAAGGGAGGTTGTAAAGGCTACAAATAATAACGGCTAATCAATTAAAAATGCATTTAAATTAAGTAAATAGAACCAATACATGGTGTTTCCATCACTTAAAAATATATAAAAAAAAAGGCAACAAAAAAAAAAATTGTTTTTATATACAGTATTATATCGTTCGCTTTACAATAATTATGTAGATTATCACTTATAATTTTTTGTATATTTTTTTTTTGGGAGGAGGAGTCCATTCATTGTCATTCATAAATGCCATGCCAGTCATTCATAAATATAACCAACGACTCGTCGTAGATGGACTAAATTTTTGGGTAGCTAGATGATTCATTCTTACTAATCAGGACAGTACAGACTAACAAACCAGAGATACGTCATCGATAGGATCTAAATTTTTTAAATTAAAGATAAATCTACACGCTAATTAGCTGTGTAAACTATTTTAGCCCTTCCCTCCATTTTGTTTTTTATCAACCTCAATATTTATAGTATATAGAGGTGAGAGTGTTATTCTATGGGTAACTAGTCTGCTATAATAGTCCGTGGTACAGACCCCTTTTTATCGAATTATTAACATCCACCTGAAACTTCGTAAATAGTTTCATCTCACCGTAACCTACAACTATATTATTTACAAAAACTCTTGGAATTGGGGCTTTTTCAATCTGGAGGGGGCAAACTTTGTCTATTTAATTAGGTACTAAAAACTCGTAAATACCCATTTGCTTTCTATTTGAATCGTACGATAAATTGAATACAAAATCGATAAAAAAGGTAGCCTACAAAAATATTGGACCGTTTTCCTATATAACCTCGTTATTTTGAAAATTTGGGGGTGTAGGTCACGTCAAACGGCTCAATATTTTTTAAGGTCACCTTTTTTCTCGACTTTTTGATCAATTTATCTTACATTACAAATAGAAAGCAATTTGGTATTTATGAGTTTTTATTACCTAATTAAATAGATAATGTTTGTTCCCCTCCAGATTGAAAATGCCCCTATTCCATGATTTTTCGTAAGTAAAATAGATATAGGTTACGATGAGATGAAACTATTTCTGAAGTTTCAGGCGGATGTTAATAATTCGATAAAAAGGAGTCTGTAATACGGACTATAACCAAAGTTTAATGGTCATAATTCATTCTGAGAGCCCTCCACGAAATATGTTAAAATTTTCGATCTCTAGAAATGGGTATAAAAACCAGGCAATCCGTTACAATGATTTTAATGGTGATCATACTCTATGCAATTTGACGTACTGAATCGAATACTAAAGTACGTTTGATGATAGGAGTAACGTACATTTTTTTTTTTTTTTTTTGAAATTCCTCACATTAGTATTTTTTTTTCTAATTCCTATTCTAAACTAACCAATTCTTAATCAACCAAGTCTAAATAAATAAAGAACAATCATAATCTTCAACAACAGATTTTTTTTTTTTAATAGATATAAATGAAAACACTGTAATAATCTGATGAATAGAAAGTTATCTTAAGACCATGAATCAGAAAAACTGAAAGTAAGTTTGTAGAATGAGAAATAGATCATTGAGACTTAACAAGGCAGAATAATTTCTTTAAATTCAAGTGCATTAATAATTTTATTTATTACACTGTAGTATTCAACTAAGCGGTATTTCAGTTTAATAAAAAATAATCTTTTTTTTAATAAAAAAAATAAAGTTTAATAAAATAATAATTAAACGACATGTAAGTTTATTAGTTAGTTTTTTTTTTTTTAATATATGGTTTTAATAAACAAAAAATGCAAATTTTGTTTCTGATTATGTATATTTCAATAATAATTATACATTTTTATATTTACACAATATATTAATACACTTAAAGTCAAAAACTTTGTTATATATATTTTTTTAAGTTGAATAAGAATACTAAAATATTAATGACTGAGGGTTGATGGGGCTGTAGTGAATAATTTAAGAGAAGAATAAATTAATAATACTATTTTTATAATTTAGTATTTATTTGACCGCCCCCCCCCCCGATCAATTCCTTCTCAATTTAAGAGAAGGATGTTTGGGGTGATCAGTCAAAATAAAAATAAATAATAATATTTATTTTTACATTTGCCGATATTTCGGCCCGCAGTTCAGCCCATCTCTCATTAGGGCTGAGAAAACAATTAGATAACAATAGGTATGAGAAACATAAACAAAGTAGATAAAAAACTTAAAGTAAAATGAAATAGATAGAGTGGACATTAAAGTATAATAAAGTAGGTACAATAACAGAGAACTAATAATAGTTCACATAAATAGTGTAAATATTTACAATATTGGTTATTTAAAATTAAAAATACAGACGGAGAGAGAGAAAAGGATATGAAAAGCGTACATATATATAATACAAACAGAGAAAACTAAAATAACAGAAATATTTTCTGCTGATCTATGTCTGTATGAAGGTCTTGGGAAATTTTGATTTGGGCAGACTGAGTGGAGTAGCCAGGCCTGAAGTCGAAATGGTAGGGGTTTAGGAGATTATTGTACTCTAAAAAATGGGATAGCTGGGATTGGGCTAGTCGTTCAAAAGGTTTGGAGAGGTTTGAAAGAATGGAGATTGGGCGGAAATCATTAAGAACTGATGGGTTTAGAGATCTTCTTCAAGGGGCGAACTAGGGCTGTTTTCCAGGATGTTGGGAAGGTAGCATTTTGAAGAGAATAATTATAGATATGATAAAGGATCGGAAGAATGGATGTTATTGCGGCTTTGATCAGTCTGACTAGAATGTTATCGGGACCATAATCGTTGGCATGGGATTTCTTATGAAGTAAAAAGATTATAATGAAATAAAATATTAATATTAAAAAATATTAAAATATTAATAACGCCTAAAGTGGACCGAGATGGGACAAAATGTTTAGCAATCACCTTTGCACTTTACCTTACCAAAATTTTTCGAAACTTTTTTCAATGAAATTCAAAAGACTCTTCCAGTAAAATAGGCCAATTAAAATTTCGTCATGAAAACGTATTTCAGATGAGTATATCTTTTTTTTTTTTTTTTTTTTGGTTCCTCTTAAAACTGTTAAATAGGCATTTATTTCGAAATAAAAAATATTAATTTTTGAAATTTATTTTAATGAAGGATTTATTTTCATGCTGTTCACTAAACTATTTATAACTTCTCTGGATTTTTTCTAAATTAAACGTTACTATAACCGTTGGAAAGTGGAATTAATGTTCTTCTAAACCTTATTCATAACTTAAATTTTACGCATTTATAAATCAATAAATAAAAACTCAAATTTGGAGAAAAAGCAAAAAAAAAAAAAAAACTAATAAATTCGTTAAATCCAGTCTCCTGAGGATAGAAACTATATGATTCTTTAAAATTTGAATCTTTAAGATAATAAAATGTTTCTTCCAAGTACCTATTGAAATATAGCGAGTTTTGCAGATTATGGCCTTAAATCAACTACTTGGGTGCTTAAAATGAAGTAATTAGACTAAAATTGATGATATATTAATGTAAAGTTAACAAGTAAATGAAGGACGTACTTTTTCTCGTGTACCGTTAATTCTTAACATTCCTAATCCGTGTCTTATTAATAATTGGATAACGTACTTTGCATATTCCCTAGATTAATTCACGTTGTATTTTAATTAGCAAGGAGATGGATTAAAGTGGGAGATACAGTACGGAGGAATATGGAGAGGTGGGATTTGTAGGGGTGGGATATGAAACTCGCTTAGGATAAAAAAATCCTTGCTTTAGTTGCCAGTCGACCATCGCACAGCAATCATGGCCTTCAAGCCGGGCGAATTAACGAAACAGTGAGTCCCGTAGTGTTAACACATCATAAACGTAAATTAATTTGAGTAACATAAACCTAAATAATGCTTATAATTTTTAATTTTGTTATGGATTATTCTCAGCTGCGGAAATTAACGTTCCAATTGTCTGTTTTTCATATGTCCGGCACAATTTTTTTTAATTTTATAGATTGTGGTGAAGAAAAGAAAGTGTTCTTTTAGTCTACGCAAACACTGGGAAATAGGTTACCTTAGGTCTTGTAAGACATAGTATGAAATAATTGCATATCCTGTATGCAAGAATTTTTCAATTGACCTTATATCTTTACGAATTAGTTTAACCAAGTGAAATTAGTCGAATTTTATTTTACATATTTTGATTATTACAAGTTAGTAGAACTGGAAATGTCAATTTAAAAAATTAAATGTAACGATGAAGATAAAGCAGTGTCTTCCTTTAACCAACCTTTAGTGCCCCGGGCAATGAATTATTGTTTTAATAATTTTATTTGCGTAATATTTGAATTATATTTCATTCAAGATGCATCTAAATCACTTGCTTTATTAATAGGCTAAAAGTAATTATTCTCACACACACACACACACACATATATATATATATATATATATATATCACACCCTTCCTCTCACCCCCTTCCGATATCAGGCTAGCGTCCCAAGACAATCGCCTGGGTTCCCTTGCTGTAAGGCCGGCATTGGATGAAAATCTAGATATCCAAATCTTTCAGAATAGACTGTGTTAGCGATTGTATAGACAGCCAACTAAAAAACGCAAACTTGTAAGAAACTGAAATTACGCCTTCAAGGTATTTATATTTCTCCGATATTACAACAACTTTTTTACTAAAATCAACTGACCGAAAGTAAAACTTTATCGATTGTACACGTTTTTACATTTCCTGAAAACGGCTTTGACGGTTCAGTACGAACTCGATATGTCAATATCCACTCAGTATATACTATACCATATGGCTCTCTCTCTCTCTCTCTCTCTCTCTCTCTCTCTCTCTCTCTCTCTCTATATATATATATATATATATATATATATATATATATATATATATATATATAATATATATATATATATATATATATATATATATATATAAAAGGCGCTTGCATTAGTTAAACAAGTTAAGCAACGCCGAGCGTGGTTAGCACTTGGATGGGTGACCGCCCGATTTGGTTGACCGTCTACCAGGAAATGCCGCGCTGCCCGAGAACCCTCCCCGGGTTTGTGAGCCTCATCAGTCTACCGGAGGCAACTCACACCGACCGGGCGTAGAATGATGACACTACCCCCGTGTACTTAAATCAGGAATCGGGATGCGGTCTAGAAGACCACGTCCCGCGGGCAAAGATCTAAAAGGTCTGCAGTGCCAAAAAAAAAAAATATATATATATATAAGGTTTAAATTTATATTTAATATGTCTTTTTAGTAACATTAATTTGATTTAATTGTAATAATTAACTCCCTGCCATTATTAAGCTCAATATAAACTATGAGAATATTTGATAACTAACTGAAAGAAAAAAATAGAGACTTCTTTTTATAAACGAATTTTCGCAAATAAATATACAATATATGTGTATAATGCATCGTTAAATAATACATCTATAGCTCAATAACTTCAGATAATCATTTTTTATTTATTTATATTTTATGCGATTTGCACGTGCGCGTCTAGCAAATTTGTTGTGTTTGTACTGTCTTGGTGTAATTGCTTGATTTGGTTAGACAATAATAGATTTAAATAATTATATATTGTCAGTTTACTACAAAAAGTCATTAATTTTCAAAAATTAAATCAGTAAATAATTGGATGAATTTTCCTTTTTTATAAGCACAAAATAGTATTTTCAATCAGTTTTTGCATTGGTAAATATGACCGAAATTCACAAATATGTTATTTAAAACTATCCCCCATTAAAAATGCACTTCAACGAAGTTTTGCATTAGATTTGGGCAGAATTTGATTTCCACTCAAAATAGAGTGATAAGAGATAGTTGTGTGATACTCGCGTCAGCTTTTTTATTATAGTTATACTATAATACTATACATATTATCACACAATTAAATAAATAATATCATCATTTCTCTATCGAAAAATACTGCATATGCTCTTATTCTGAAAATTCAGCAATTTGATTGTTTCTTAATTTAACATTTTATCGTACAAGATATTTCAGAAGTTGTTTTCCTTGCCTGTTTATTTTTCTCAAGATCTAAATCCACCATATAACTGGATTAGAGTTGTTAATTCACATTTTATGCCACTTTGATAGATTCAGTTAATCTTCGATAAAACTTTTATTTTCTGTGAATTCTTTCAGCTATATTTTCCTAAAACATAACGTGGGCGAAAAAAAAGTTTAATAAACGTAGTTAACCGATCAAATTCAATTATATCCAATATAATATTTCTCAAAAGAGTTTTTTTGTCGGTACGCCATAACTTCGACAATTCTTCATCAAATCCAATGATTGACCATTCATTTTGAAGATATTCTTCGCCTTCACATTTGAAAAATAGTCCTATCTCCTTTTGGGAAAAAAGTTATGAACAAAAGGAACTTTATAAGCGAATAACTAAAAAAATATGCATTGTTTTCTAAAAGTATGATTGTGCAAAAAATCGTACAATTATTAACAAAGATACAGTCCATTAGTTTTGGTATACTTAATAATGTATTTCTGTTTAAAGATATTGGCGTTACATTTAGGAGTAGAATAGTCTACTACACTTTTTTCCCTGGCTGATGTATTAACATTATTATTTCTTAAGGACATTCGGTTTTACTTACATTTTATTTTTTTATAATAATTTAGAAAATCCCATGATCAGTTCATTATTTTATCTTTATTACTTTCATTACCTTTCCAGCCAGCGTTTAAAAATAGGTTCTAGCAAAGCAATTTGTATAAATATTTAGGTCTATTATGTTTAATAGAATATTGTAATCGACCAAGGAAAAATTATTAATTCCTTCCTTACATAATACATAGGAACTACTTATTTCCATATTGTTTTGCTATTTCTTCACTAAACAAATGTTTTTGCGAATTATTCGCACGGGCCAACTAGTATTATTTGTTTATACATTCGATTGACAGTATTACATTATCAAAGCTCAAGAGAAAATCAATTGCATTAATATAAAAATCACTAATGATCCAAAATAAATCCTCTTACAGATAATTATAATTCATTTTCAAGCTACAGAAAATTATAAATTATTTACGTTTCACTAAAATCACGAATTCATCTAATGACCAATATTTTTACCCATAATGTCTTAGGCATCTGGAATATGCGCAAAAGCGAAAATAGAAGATTAAATCGGTTTTAAGCAAGTTTGTTTAGTGTTGCAATAATGACCAGCTCTTTAATAATCAAGTGATCATGTCACATGATAGTTCAAAAGTAAGAATTATAAGTTTAGATTCAGCAGCTCGCTGGTATGTTAACAACAAGACTTTACATACCGACCTAAGACAACCAACCATTGACCAGCACATACGTACAATTTACTCCCGATTTCATCTGAAACTACACGGACGTCACAATGGACTTATCCACGACATGGCCACGGCTGAAATGCTCATCAGGAGGCGACTGAAAAGGAGCTGGATGAGAGATCTCCTTTCCTGATTTTAGGATGTAAACAGGCCAGGGAAGAGGTGCTGCTGGGCTCCATTCTTCGTCATGCCTATCAGGCCATCTTCTACTTAAAAAAAGTGAGCAAAATTGAAAAAAATTGTTTTAAGGTTGAGTACCTAGTCATGAAACAGTGGATGGTGCGATTCGGACCCAATATTTCCAATTTTCATTGTTTTGCTTCCTCACTAGGGAAGGTAGGGAAGCTTTGTGTTCGTGCGAGAGGTTAAAAAAATGTTGAGCTGCGAATCGAAATTTTCCACTCGCGTTTTACGTTTCAGACATCACGGATCAAATTTGGTTCGGTGTCTGAACATTACCAACATACCTTTTCTTTAAATTTCTGCTGTGGTCTTCTAAGTGACAACGTCACCGGCCCCTTCTTCTTATCAGGTATATCTTACTTGCATTTTTTTTTCAAACGAAATCTTTGCCTAGAAGATATTCCTCTAGACATTAGGCAGAGGCTGTGGTTTATGCATGGCTGTGCTCGAGCTCACTTTTCTAATTGTGTCACTGAATATTTAAATGCAACTTGTGGAGACCGATAGGTTGATCGAAACGGACCTGTTAAATGGCCACCACGATCTTCGGATTTAATGCCATTAGATTATTTTGTTTGGGGCTGGATTATTAGGTCTATGGTTTATTCTGCGGCAGTTGGCACTCAAGAAGAAACAAGAAATCGGATCGTGGAAGCCGCAGTAACTATCAAGCACCATCCTGATGCTATTCGAAGAGCCAGTGAAGCATGGATTCGTCGTGCTGAATGTTGCATTCAACAAAACGGAGACCCATTTGATCAGTTATTCTAAATGTTTTAATAATAATAATAATGAATCTTTAACCTTTAATATTTGTTTAATAAATGAGTTTGAGATATATGTTAATATGAAGTTTTTGGTTTATTTTGTGTTAGTGAACACATACCTAAAATAGTGCCGTGCAATTACGAAACACCCTGTATATCCGCAAACGTGTTTTCCTCAATACATCTGTAAACCTATAAGTTCGGTTTGACTCAAATTTGGAGAGACGTTATGGATTGGTTAACAGATAATTAAGTGTTTATCAATTTTGTCGAATTCTGTCCGTTACTCTAAAAAAAAAAAAAAACTCCCACTTTCGGATCAGTATACGTATTATTTGATATGCCTACTATATAGATGAAAAATGGCTCTCTCGATTTGATCCAAACTTGAAGGAAATTTGGAGGATAGTTTGGTAATCGTCTAGTACCAATTCCATTCAATTCTATTTAATAATTAAAATTAATAAAAATAATTGTTAACTTTATTTATTACATAATCACCGCATAATAACTTTCGTAGTATGCAAC